TGAATCTTTCAGTATTATTCATAATGTCCCATACCCTTAGAAAATAAAGAAAGACATGTTTAAGAATATACAGTCATAGAGAGAGAGAGAATATGGGTGTGAAGAAGAGAGAGAGAGAAGTGTGAGAGTGATGCATAATATAGATATAGAGAGAGAAGGTAGGTGAGTGAATGAGTTTTAGAGAGATAAAGTGGAAACTCATTAACATATGTGTCAGCCCATTAAATCTGTAAACCCAGCAATGATGAAACCACTTCAACTCACTCCAGTATTGCTCAGCTTAGCTAGAAAATGGCTTACGAACAATTAAAAAAAAACCCACTCCTATATATTTAGTTAGAAAATCCCAAAAAACTGGTATAAATTATTTTAACAGGATTTCACTATCATTATTTGGAACTATAACAAAAGGTGCAGAAATTTCGCGTGTTAATTGTGACCATTTCGAATTTTTAGTCCACTTATGTGACCTCATCCATTGCCTTAATAAGAATCTTAATACGTTGGTTTTCAATTAATACAAACGTGACTATAAGTGAAATATAATGCATCATTTTAACTTTTATATTCAATGACCGTGACCTTTTAATATGTCTTATTTGACCTGTTAATTTTTACATTTTAACTGCAACCATAATCCAATGGTGCAAATGACAGAAATGAGGTAGTTTCAGCCTTGTTAGCGGCCCCAATGTAATGGTTTGATTCCTGAGATATGAAATTTGATTCTTTGTGGATATCAGTGTACAGACAAACTCTTGTTCTTTAGCCTGTTGGAACACATTCCGCGATTTACCTCTCTCACAATACTCTAAGGATGGGGCAGTAGGGGCCTTCAAGGTTGAGGTTCAACCCTTTTTCTTTTTTGAATATATTGCATCAATTTGCCTTCAAGTGCACTATTAACCAATTTTAAATCAGAAATGTGATTTTAAGAAGAATATGACATATTTAGGCTATGTTTGAACCTCATTTTTTTTTATTTAAAAAAGTAAACTGCATTTTGGAATAGAAGATTGATGAAAAATGTATGGTTAAAAATAAAGGAAAAGTTTTTAGGTTGTGTGTAATATTATTTTATTAAAAAATGTATGATTAAAAATAAGAGAGAGAAAAATATATTTTAAAAAAAGATGGGGATCAAACGGGGGCTTAATGTGGTTTATAGTTTTAATTCCGTGAAGTTTTGCACTCGTATGGATGGATACACACATTTTAGGATTTCGATACGGGATGGTCACACTGGATTTTGAATTGATTTGGGGATTTATTTTTATTTTTTTTGGGTGTTTTGGATTTCTTTCCATTTTCGAGAATTTAATTGATAAAGTTGTTAGACATTAGTTTAGGAACTTAATAGTAAAAGTAGCAAATGAAATTGCTAATAGGAAGACAGGACTTAGTGCTAAACACTAAATAATTCTCTTATATTTGGAAAGAAGAGAGTATTCAAAAATGCTGGAAAAGGCAAAGATTATAAGGCAGGTCTATGCGTGAAGGTGTTCTTAGAAAAGATGGTGAAAAAAATAGTATAGGAAAAATACATAACTACGATATTTCAATTACACAATTTCATATTTAACAAACTTACAAAAATATTCCAAAATCTGGTGATAAATTATATTAATATATTATATATTTTTAAAATATATATTATTAATGAAATTTAAGAAAATTAGTTAATCTACAATATCTTTATCTACAAAATCATATCCTAATAATATATCATTTAATAATTGTTTTTCTTACCCTCCACAATCTCTCTCTTACACCTCCTCACACTCTCTCTTTTATAGATTTTCTAAATTAGGTGGTCACATTTTGTTGTGACATATAATTTAATTAAACAAGTTCCGATCACAATAATACATAATTTGTGGTCACTATTACAAATTGTACAAGGTCATAGTTACAATGACATAATTTGTGATCATGATTACAAATTTAATCACAAATTACTTGTTTTAATAGGTTACAGTTTACAGATTTTGTAACTGATAATATGTGAAACCTCAAATGGAAGCCACATGGAAGCACTACTTGCATACACGTGGTAGCCAACCATGACAAAATAAAGAAAAAAAAGACGAGAATCACCTTTCCGTCAAGTGCTATCTCCACCAGGGCTCTGCTGTCGAAGAGCGCTCTCTCGAATTTGAACTCCTTTCGTTCAAAGCTCTCTCTCTTGTGGTCGAAGCACTTGTTTTATTTAGAGCAAATTTGATGAGTGTATTTTTAAGAATGATTAATGTAACGTTTGCATTAATAAGTGTCAGACATGTTAAATCTAGGAATGTAGAGCGGTTTACCTCTTATCAAATGTATTTGTCAATGTAATTAATGTGTGACACTATTACGACTTCTGTCAATTAAATGGAGCCATGTAGATTTGATTCAACAGTGACTACTTCGGCCTGATCAATATAAATAACAATTTTTGTAACATCGTACGAGATGAAAAATATATATTCAAGCTTACATGCTTATCACCATTCTCTTGATATTTATTTGCTTAAGTTACAATTATTCATTATTACAATTGTTTCTGGCCATGTGCATTTCACTCCTATTCTCACGTCCATGGTAAGCCGTCGAATTTTAGACCAGATATTCGGGAAAAGCCCATCGAAATTTGCTCACATGGACTTAAGCGGAACCCGACACTCGTTGGCACATTTTTTGGGGTGAATAGATTTAGTCACAAATTAAAGTTTTTACAGGTCACAAATTATAAATAAACAAGATTACCAAATTAACGGATCACAATCGCCCTTCATCTCCACTCCACCTCACCTCCTACCCCACTCCATTGCTGTTGGCACTACCCAAATCGTCGCTGCCAACACCACCATCACCACTTGCATCCCACCACTACCCCATCCACCTCCACACAATTGAACTATAATGTTGCGTATACAATTTCATTACCGTTGGTGTTGACACCACCCAAATCATTGTCGTTACAACCACAATTATAATTTGATATGTTGCATGTACAATTTCACCTTCATCAGCGCCATCCCAAGTCGACCACCACTTCAAATCCACAATCACGATCACATCCTTCAAAATCCACCACCACCATCGTTTGCACCTTCAACACGCTACGAATTCATAGCCAATAAAGAAAAGGTTGGCACAGAAATAAAAGAATAGAAGCACATAATCAAAAGCAAATTTTGGTCTGATTGATGGAATAGTGGCGACACCATGGGTGTAGGTTTGCCCGCCCTATCAATAATGCCTGAATTCGAAATTTCTGAGATTCACAATTCACGAATTCGAATTTTTTCTCATAGATTTTGTGCCCCACATGGTGTTATGAAACCAATCGAAGTTGGAATCATGTTTGGGAGGTGATTTCACCAATTGTCGGTAGTGGGAAGTGGCGACGACGATGACTGTCGGCATTCATGGTATTGTTCTGAGAAACCCTCCCTCGTACACCAAACAAAATCCATTTTGAAGAAATAAGCATGTGTACAGGGGGTTCTGTGATTCCCTCCGAATTCTCACATGGGTGGGCCCCATATGAGTAAAATATTCCCAATTAAAAAAAGAAAATCCACCCACCCCTTATTATGTGTGTTTTGGAATAGCTTTGTAAATCCCTCCCTTGTACACCAAGCAAAATCCATTTTAAGAGAAATTGTTATAAAGAGAATAATGGGTATGGATGGGTGAAATTAGAGGGGGAAATGATAATTATCTTTATTTAGTTTCTGTTGATATAAATTTATTAATATTAAAACGTGAATAACACCTGTTTTATGAAAATAGACAAGTCCTTGTTTGATGGTCAATATTTGAAAAAAATAATATATTTTTTGAATAATGAATTTTTGAAGAATGCGTTGTTAAAAAATTGAGAAAAAGTATTTGATTTATGTGCAAAATATTTTATTACGTGAAAGTATGGTTAACAATGAATACGTAAAAAAGAATTTTAAAGGCCATCAAACATGGACTATTTAAGATCAGATTTTTGAAAAATATAGTTAAAATGTAGAATTTTTCTTTAATTTTCCCAACTGGTAAACCATGTTTTTGATTGGCTATAATACGGGCAAGCTGAAAGGTGATCCTATTTACATTTTTTTAATTTTATTTTAAGTTAAATAAACTAATTAAGTAATAAAGAATTGTTATTAATAATCATAAAATAATTCAAATAATATTAAAGCCTATTTCGTGTTATTAAAATTGATGAAATATATGGTTAAAAAATTGTAAATCTCATATAAAATATGTGATTATTATACTTTGACCCATTTTTGGACTTTCCAATGTTTGGCTGCTTTGGCATTATCATTTTATCATGCCTTATTACTTTTCAGTTTAGCTTGGTGTATGTAATAGTTGACAATTTTTTTTTATTTTTTAAATTGTGTGATATAATGCATAGTTTCGCCATTGACTTTAAGACTTCAAACGATCAATGATCTTTATTTTTACATTACACACAATGTCAATCATAATGTATACAAAGAATGTAAAATTTTGTGTTTAATTAAGCCCCTGTTTGACATTCTTAAAATTTAAAAAATAATGTTTTGAATGGTAGTTTTGAAGAATGTGTGGTTAAAAAGTAGGAAAAACTTTTGAATTATGTGTAGAAAATTTTATGTGTAAATATATTATTGCAAATGAGTATAAAAAAAATACATTAAAGTACAATAATGTCAAATTGGGTTTAAGATGATGGTCATTCTGACGATCAAATTAAAATTGTTTAGCTAAGTAGAACATAGTCAGTGAGATTTGCTATTTGTACACCGAGCTTTGACATCTCGGTGTACAATCCCCTCACAATAGGAGGTCGTGTCCAAAAAAATAAAAATCACAAACCTCCTATTCTGAAGGAGGCTATATACCAAGTTGTCAAACTTGATGTACTTATAGCAAAATTCTACATGGATAGGAGGCAAATGAATTGTGAAATAAATTAAGTTGATTGAAAATTGTTGACAAAAGTCTTGACATAATCTTATATACTTGTGGAATTCATGTGAATAAAAAATTTCAAAAAAATGACTCCACCTCCTATTGTAAGTGTTCGAATAGGAAGGCTATCAATCCCTTGCAGTCAGTGTAGCAAAGTTGAACCGAAATGTAGAATGGTGGGACAGAGAGGTAGCTCCAATTGGTTAGAAGTACACGTGTACGGAAAAATTACTTCTAGAGTTAAAAGAGTTAACTATGAATTCAAGTGCAAGAAGTCCGTGCAAATAAGATGCGTGTAAATGACTTCAGGTTAGCCCCTTCCAGAAACACCAGCGCTACATGACATGTATTTCTATCCATTAAAAAAATTAAAAAATCATTAAGGAACCAAACTAACCAGTCAAACACGATATAGCAGTTTCACAAACGCGCCGCCCTAAAACTGGAGGCCAATTGGCCACTAACCGCCAAACCGACACGGTTTCTACTCGACGATTCCCCCTGATTTCTCAGCTCATTGTTTTTCTAAAACTATATATACCTACAATCAAACTTCAATTCAGCCGTATCTCAGACAATCTTATCCACTTTCAGTATAGAATCTACTATCAGCCGTATCTCAGACTATCTTATCCACTTTCAGTATAGAATATACTATCAACCATATCTCAGACATAGTAACACGAATATATATATATATACACGAGAGATATTTCAATAATTGGTGGTGGTGGTGGTGGTGTTGTATATTTTCAATTATCAATTTGACATGAAAGTTAAGAAAGGAGAAACAGCAGTACCTTCTCTGACGAGGTCGTATAGCTCACCGGGAAATGGAGTAGAAAATCCCCAATCTTCTCCGAAGTCAGCCTTCCAGCGATTGCGCCAGAAATTATCGCCGAGGAAGACCGCATCCGTGGATCTGAAACCATCAATTTCAAGTTCCGATGATAAAAACGGTGAGGCTCCGGAGGTGGATAAATGGAGCGAAAATGAGATGGTGTTTAGGTACTTCGACGAAAACGGCGATGGTAAAATCTCAAAAGAAGAGCTACGGCGGTGCGTGAGGGCTTTAGGTGGCGAAATATCGGAGGACGAGGCGGAGATGGTGGTGCAGTTTTCGGACTCAGACAGCGATGGAATGTTAGGGCTAGAGGACTTCACAAAGCTAGTGGAGGGCGGCGGCGAGGACGAGAGAAAGGACGAATTGAAGGACGCATTCAAAATGTACGCAATGGAAAATAGTGAATTCATAACGCCTAAAAGCTTGAAGAAAATGCTGAATCGGCTGGGGAATTCGACCTCCATGGATCATTGCGCAAGCATGATAAGCAGATTCGACATTAATGGAGACGGCGTCCTTAGCTTCGATGAATTCAGAGAAATGATGCGATAAATGATTCAAAATTTTGAAACAAACATTTATGCTCAAGAATTATCCAATTTGGAAGCCCTCTCTCCCCGAGGCAATTTTTAAAATGGCTGGATAATTGATTCAATTTTTCACAATAGCCTTTTCTGTTGGAAGTACTATTTTACTCTTACTATAATTATTTGCAAGTTGTATCTTATATTTTTAAGGATTTATTAATCAGGACCTATATCTATATTCTTCAATCTTTCAAACACCTTTAAATATTCTTTGTATTTTAGTAATTCTTCAAATATCCTAGGCTGACATTTCTTGGTTATATATCCTCGAACTAATCTTTCTGAAATTTTTTCTTGTATATCTCTATGTTTAGTTATAATATCCTCTATCTTTCTTATCTCTTTACTAGTTCCTACAGAATCAAATCCTATATTATTTTTACAATTATAATCTATATCTCTATATATTTCTTCAATTTTTTCTTTGCCAACAGAAAATATATTTTCAGACTTTTCAGCTAATTTAAATAAAAATGAAACATATTTTTTATCTAAAAATAATATGAGATTATTATCATTATTAGAAATAGATATGGATGCTTGTGAATTGTTCATCAGAATAATTTAGGCATAAGCATGTAAGAATAAGTAAATAACTTACAGTAATCAAATGGAAGTAAACATGCTTTTCCTCCAATATGCTTTTATAGATGTTTTGCATGTACTTAATCAATCTTCTGAATCAAGTAAAGATTAAAATGTTTTTTGAAATCATTTGGATCCACAACTGCTTTCGCAAAAGGTTTTTCAATTAAGGTTGCATTTCTCACTCTAGATAACTAACCGTGTTTCCACAGACGCTATCTTACAGTATTCAGAGTCTCTGCTTTCACCTCTATCCAAATTCTTTTCAGAATCAAGTTCCTAATTGGAATGAAATTTTAAAAGATAACTCTCACACAAGGTGCTACAATTTTGTTAGAAAATTGCCTTTTTCCCCTAAACCATTCTTCAAAGACGGGTACTTTGACATGGCTGACATCCATTCAAAATCAATGTTTTGAAGTCCTTTAAAATCTCTATTTGTACTGTCAAGGAATCATGAGAAATTTAACGAAATCCTTTTATGAAAACTTTGTTGAACATAACAAATTTTATTTTGATATTCATAAATTGAAATTGTACATGCTTACAAACTATATTTACATACCTTTGGTACTCACCTTATGAAGTTTAGAACTCCATAAGTGATTACCTTATTACACGCTTTACTATCTTCAAGCTATCTAATATTTTTTTGAATACAAGTGGTGTATACAGATTACAAAAGATATATCTCTAAGATACGTTTCTTTAGAGTGTTTTAGAGATAAGTTGTTTCAAGATATCTTCCTTCTTCCTCCTTGCCTCCTTTTATAAAAGCCTTTGGGAATCTTATCTTGACAGGTGTTTTTCACCTTTCTTTGTTGGGTAGTTAGGCCATCTTATCTCCACCGAATTCTTCATTATCTTCTTGCTAGGTGGACCTCTTCATTTGAAATTATATGCATTATCTTTTGAGTTTGTCTGCCACTTGTGATAGTTGGTGGGGAGTAGTCACAATTATGGAGACTTTTCTTGTACTATCTTCTGTCTTTTAGTAGCCACGATTTTTCTTTAATAAAGTTCTTTATTAAAGTAGTGATAAAGGGCTACTTTTGTCACCATCACTTTTCCATTTTTGAATCAAAGAATTCTACAGGGAATTCTTCATCATTAAGGGATGATTGACTCATATCTTCAACTATACAGTATTCACAATGGTGATCACTGTAATTCCAAAGTAATTTGCATAATTCTTTAGCCATATCTTCTGATCCATGCACTTGGTTGGAAATAATTACAGATAATAAATGGTCGAGATAACAAATATTTTCTTCTTTGGTGGCCATCCTTGCATTGGAGTAGATAATATGATATTCAGATGGATATACTCATATTTTTTCTTTCTCAATAATTATCTGGGTTACATGTTCAAATATTTCTTTGTACCATTTTGCTCTTCTGTAGGGCATCATGTTTAAAATATCTTGATATTCATTTTTAACAACCTTTTGATTGGCTCTGTGAAGAGCTACTTGCTCTTTTGATATCTTGAATATCTTTATTACCAGTAATAGGTTCAAGTTTTCCCTGTGAAGGGGTTCCTATTACCTTCTTTTCTTTCCCTTTATTCTCGGGGAGAGTACTAGTATTCATAAGTCCCTGCAAAGGGATATTAGATTTGGTACAAGTAACTTTTGCCTTAAGGGCTATATTTTTGCCTCGAAAGCTATCTTGGATATTTTGAATTTGTGTTTCCAGATAGAAAACTTTTATCTCAAGTATTTGAACTTTCACCCTTAATTGTTCTAGCTCCATCCCTGCTAAGATAATTAGGAAGAAAGTTAGTTTTACCTTTTATATATTCAATATCAAATTTGAAATATGAAAACCAAATTTGTATCTTAATAATATATCTATTGGCAATAGATGGATCAACATTATTTTTCAAAAATGCTTTAACTTGAGTATTATCAGTTTTAATCAAGAACTTCTTTGGTAATAGATAATCTTCATATTTCTGAACTCCTCTTTTACAGCAATGAGTTCTTTCCTGTTCGTCTCATATTTTGTTTCAACTTCTTTAAATGTTCCTGATATAAAACCTGCAAGTATCTCAGGACAAGAACAATCTTTTTCACATTTATATTCTTTATGATTTTTTTTCACCTTTAACACTGCTCCCAGTAATAATCTGAAGCATCAGTTTCAAGGATAAAGAAATCTTCTTCTTGTGGTATTACAAGTTTGGGCAATACCTTTAACTCTTCTTTTACTTTCCTTATATTTTCACAATCTTATTTTTCCCAAGACCACATAATATTTTTCCTTAATTTTGGAAGAAAATAATTTTTTAATTTGGCACAATTCTCAATGAATCTTTCAGCATAATTTAATATACCAAGAAAGCTTTGTAATTGTTTTTTATCTTTAATTTCTTCAGAAAATTCTTGAAGTTTTTCTCCAATATGGGATTGCAATTGCAATTTTCCTTCTTTTATAAATAATCCCAAAAATTCTATTTCTATTCTAGCTATCTCAACTTTCTTTTGAGAAAGTGTAATACCATGTTTTTCATAATATAACAAAATTTCTCAAGATATTCAATATGTTCATCAATATTATTTGAATGAATAAGTAAATCATCTACATATGCAACACAGAAATGAGTAATTGGTTTGATTACCTCATCCATTCTTTTTTGGAATATTTGTGGTGCATTTTTCAACTCAAATGGCATTACATTCCATTCGAATTGTCCTAAAGGATTGGGGATACTAAATGCAGTTAGTGGTTTACTTTTTTCTGTAAGCATGATTTGTCAAAACCCTGACTTACAATCAAATTTTGAAAATATTTTTTTGTTATGTACTTGTTTAATAAGGGTGTCCTTATTTGGCAAGTAGTATCCATCAAATTTAGTAACTTCATTTAATTTTTTGTAATTTATCACAATTCTGGCTTTTCCTATTTTTTATCTCACTAAGTTTTCTAACCATAAAGGCTGGGCTGCTATGTGGACTTTTACTAGGCCTAATTATCTTGGCTTTTAGCAATTTTTTTATCTGGTCTTTAAATTTCTTTTGATCATCAACACTATATTTCATGGGTTTGACTCTAACAATAGTGTCTGGATTGGTTAATTCTATTTTTGTCTTTACTTTGTCTGTATTCCATTTTTCTAATGGATTTTCAGAATATGTTTCAGAAATTTCTTTTTTCAGTTTTTCAATCCTATTTTCTGTTGTTATTTTTAAGACTGTAACTGGTTTAAATTTTTCTGTACTCCAACATCCACCACGCTGGGTTGAGGAACTCTGATAATTTATATCTGTATATACTATTGTAACAGCTTTCTTTATTTTTTGTGTAAATATTTTATGTGCACAAGGTGTTGTGAACATATACTTATCAATATATTGTGTAAATGGTGCATATTTTAATAGAAAATTTTGTCCTAATAAAATATCACATCCAATTGTGGTTGACATGTATATTGTATCAACAAATACTTCTCTAAAGAAAATTAGAAAAGGTACTTGCGTAGCATATTTGCTGTATATTACCTTATTTTCACCTACTGTTGTAGCGATGACTATCTTCTTTGAATTGTATATCCAGTATTCAGATGGTAGTACATTTGGTAAGCATAAGCTTATTGTACTTCCTGTATCTAAGTATGCATAAAATTTAATTCTACAATAGCTTTTTATATTAAGTGTAATTTCAATATATGGACTCATGGGATTAGTACTTATTACTCTTTCCATGATAACAATGATTTCATATTTTCATCTATTCTTGATATGATGATTGGGTTATCATCAACTGTTATCTTTAAATATCCTTGGCAGATTTTATAAGGACTATATTTATCAAGAAAGTTCATTCCTAATAGAATAGGTGAACGATCTACTCCATATAATTCATCTTTATATAAAATTATTTCTTTAGTATATTCTTTCTGATCCTCTCCTATAAGTATAAGAGGGAACTTAACATATTTTCTTATTTCAAGATTATTTCCTAAATAATCCTTTACTTTATATTGTTCTGGCATTTCAAAGTCTATTAAATTACTAACAAATTTAGCATTTATATGACTTTTATCTGCTCTAGTATCTATGAGGACAAGAAGATTCTTCTTATATCCTTCTTGATTTATATATCTTGCCTTAATGTAATATTGCGAACTTGATGGTTCAGCAATACTTAAATTCTTAAGTCTGCTTATCCTAGAGTTTTGTCTAGAGGGAAATCTTGCAATAAGATTATCTCCTTCTAAGCTGACACTATTTATTCTTATTAATTTTCTTTCGGAATTAATTTCTTTAGTTTGTTTATGAAAATCAAGCATTATTTGTTTTGGTATAGTGACTTCATGTTCTTGGTATTTCCTAGGAGGTATATATTGTGCTAATTTCTCAAAATCTTTATGTATGATAATGTTATCAGTTATCTTTCTTAGATTGTTATGATGGCTAGTACTAAAAGCAAAAATTGATTTTGTGCTTATACTAATAGCTTTACTTCTTCGTAACATTTTTAAGTTTCCAATTCTATAGTATAGATTGAAACTTTGGTCAATATTTTCATCATTTAATGATATTGCATAAATTGATTTTACTGTAAATATTATCTTTTGATAGACTAAGTTTCCTACAACTGTTCCTAATAGAGCATTTATAGGA